CGTATATATATATATATATATATATATATATATACGCAGGAAGAATAATAATTATAATATACAATAGTTTCCCCCTTATACATTAGAGAGATCTATTTGAATTTCGTAATTATTGTCTCCTACATTGAGCCGCAGAGGAATAGATGCATATATATATGTATATATATATATTACTATGTGATTCCCATCGATTTACTCCAAACCTTATTTGGTATATAATCAGTACACTTCAAACTATTCAAAGCTCGAACCTTCTCTTTGATTATCCTGGTATGCCTAATCAATGATATACTGTTTCCTTTGGGTATAATACTGCTTACTTGTTGGATATACTTTCGAATATCGACATTTAATTGCAATCAGATAAACTTCGATTAAATATTCTATGTCTCGGTAATTAATTATACGTGAATTAATATTATTTGTTTCTTTGGATTTCTTTTTTATATCGAATTTATTATGGAATTATAATGAATCTCAATTATAATAATGACACGCGTATGTTCGTGAATTATTTATAAATGTATGCTTGTATCAAAGTTTTTTTGTTTTGTTTTAAATAATAATTCCTCAATGAGAATTGTAAAATTTGATTAAAAGAAATTTAGTAAATTTTTCGTAACAAATGGGTCGTTCGTCACATTAAGAAACATAATAAAGATTTAAGTTATTTAAATTATCCGAATAAATTTCACATATAGATTGTGAAATATTTGTATTAATTTCTCGTATAATTAATTTCAAATTAAAAAACAGTTTGTGAAAATCGTTTAAAAATCATAATAAGATTGAAATTGTTTAAAATTATGCAAATAAATTTAATGTGACACGCGTATCGAATATATTTCTATTTAACGTTACGTATAATTAATTTCAAATTAAAATTTAAACGCGTATAGAAGTTTGAAAATCGTTTAAAAAAAAAATAATAAACCATATTTCTCTCATTAAAAATTATAATGTAAGATTTAAATTTGTTTTAAATGATGCAAATAAATTTAATGAAATGTTAGTCGTATTCGCGAGTAATATTTCTTCGAGTATAGAAATAAATTTGAATGTTAACTTTTGAATGTAGAAATTTTTGAAAATCGTTTAGGAAGGATAAGTCGTTCGTTTTGAAAGTGTAACAAGGTGTATAGGTTTTATATCTTGACTGGTATACATATAGCAAGAGAACATCGGTATTCCAAGAGCAAAGTCAAGCGAAAGGAGCTGATGCATCGTATTTCTATTCCCTTAGGGGTGTGACGACAAGAGGGTAAGCGAAATTCAGAGATATGTCGTACTTATATACGTATATTTTTCTTTTACATATATAAGATACATATAAAAGAGTCAAACGAAATTATAATCGCGTTGGTTTTAACTCCGTTCAGATGAATTTTTGTTCAACTTACCGTAATTATTTTCCTTTTTTTTTTTTCTAAAAATATTTTCTCTCACTAATTTATACGCTGTTAATTTTAAAATAAAATTATAATCAATGATTTGTATTGTATTCCCATAATATGATAGAAATTTATAATATTCATACAACCAAAACGATATATTCGCGTTAATTTTATTTTTCATCGATTTAGTATTAAAAAAAAATATATATATATATACATATAAAAATAAATGATTTATTAAATCATCGATCTTTATTTAAGGAGAATAAAAATTTATTCGAATTTTCTTTATTAATAGAAATAATGAAATTCTTCGTATAATATTTCGTTACTACGTAAAAAGAATTTCATTAATTCGATCTATAAATGCGAACGAAAAAAAGAAGAGAGAAAAAAAAACGAGAAAAAATGAGAGACCAGAAAATGAATTAATTGTTTTCATTGAAATAAATAATATGTCAAAATTGATGATAAATGAGAAGAGAAAAGTTTCTATGTTCTCTCCCCCTCTCTCTCTCTTTCTTTCTCTTTAGAGAATGAAATGCACAAATATATATATATATAAATATTATTTTACTCGTAATATATAATAATTAAGGATTAATATATAGACCGGTTGATACGGATTTAGTGAAGTGGTAAATCGAGATGAAAGAGGCAAAAACGATCAATATCAAAGATCTCATTATATTCTCGAGCTGGTATTGGCTCTCACTTTCTGATATAAAAGAGAACGTTTGCAGGATAGAGAAGAGAATATTTTCGTAAAGTACTATAAATCTCACGTGAAACCGTCGCGCCGCATTGTCACATGAACCGGAAACACTAGAATAATATAATCAATCGATTTTACTTCCTTCCTAATATAAATGTAGTAGTTTACGACTTCTTCGTATTAATAAAGTGACAAAGTCGAGGAAAAACAACGTTGAATTTTCGCAGATATTTTTATTATCGATTTTAGTATCATTCGAAGAACAATAAACGAACATTTCGATTATTATCATATATATTCCTTTTTTATCTTTTTATATTATATTTATTATGTTACCGTTAAACGTGTGTGTGTGTGTATAATTCAAATTTTATCACATACGAGAGATCAAATTAAAAGAAATGTTTTTTATTTTATTTAATAATTAATTTAAATTTACTCAATATATACGATGACTTTGTTGAAACAAATTATAATATTTATTTATAAGATCGAATATTAATTTATAGCAAATCGCAAATAATTGTTTTATGAAATAATTCATTGTAAAGTTAAATATGGAATTCACGAGAAAGAGAGAGAGAGAGAGAGAGAGAGAGAGAGGGCAAGTAGTTTAAAAGTATCGATTGAGATTTAAAATGTGATCCTTATTTAAAATCAGCTTATATTTTTATAACGATGTTCCTAGTTATTCGTTTTTTTTTATCTTCTTCATGTAATTTGAAAACCAATGTTCTGTTGTTAATCGTGTTGTTCTATCGGATTTAAATCTAAGGATCCAATTTCAATTTTCCATATCTTAATTACGCATGCATATCTCGTTAATTCTAATATTATTTTAATCGATGCACGTAATTTTATTTTCTTTCATATTTTAACAGATCAATATATAGTTATTTCATAAAATTAACTGATTTAACGTTTAAACGATAACATAATATAGATATTATATTTAAGAAAAACGCGATTGAAAGATATCAGAAGAAATCGTAAACAATTTAATTAACAAAATTGAAAAGTTAAGAATACGTATGGGATAAAAATGAATTCGTTTTCGAAGATATATAGATAAATCGAGCGTAAAGTGAATTCGAGAATGCTGAAGAAAAATGAATATTTGTACACTTAACTTTTCCTCCCTTATCACGTTGCCCTTTCCTTCGTGAGACTTTCAGAATACTGACCCTGTAGTTGTTGTCATCCGCTGCCGTACCACGATCGGCCAAATATTCTTGATATTGTGAGATAACACATAGAAGAGAGTACACCTATATACACATACACACACATATATAATTATTTTTTTAATAATTATAATATAATATAATATAATATCATTTTTATAATATAAATACATGTATAAACGCGACAATATTTCAATAACCTAAATTTTTGTTCCGTTTTTATTCCTTTCTATTCAATTTTTCATTTTATTTTTCACGTTGGAATAATTAATCATAAATTAATCCACGTGAATCTAAAATACGTTTTACATATAAATGTATGTATGTATGTATGTATGTATGCATGTATGCTTTTGCACGCGCGCGTGCGTGTATCAATGATAAAAACGATATAAAAATACATACGTTTAAACACAGGAGGAAAAAGTTCAGCGTGTAGAGCATCGCCATTATTGGATTAAAGTTTGGCTGCAACAGAGAAGGTGACATAGATCAACGATGAAAAGGTTTGAATTTGCGTTCAAACGTTCTTCCTTTTTTTATTGACACACAAAAAGATGTTGGATAATAAAAATATCCGTTAAAACAAAAAAAAAAAAAAGGAAGGGGGAAAAAAAAAACCAAGGGACGACAGAACAAAAGGAAACATAAAATAAAAGAGATGGAAAGCTTTTTTTGGCTTCCTGTACAATATTTTATTTATTTATTTTTTCTTTCTCTCTCTCTCTCTCTCTCTTTTTTTTTTTTTTTTAAATCCTTCGGGTTTGTATGGATTTATATATAACATATAAATATAAATTGCATTGATTTTTTGTTATTTTTTTCGTTTAACGTCTTTATTTTTCCATCGATTGTGTAGGAAATTGGATACGGTTTCCTTTTGCACGTTAACAAGTAGGATTCGGTTTATAGAATGTTGTTTGCGAGAATGTATTGAAGGTGTTTGGGGGCCGATACACGATGTGAAATGAAAGTAAAACGTAAAAGCGATACAGAAGCAAAAAAGGAAAAAAAAGAAAAAAAAAACAACACATAAACAATACAATATACTCAATAACGTTAGATCGTTTAATAGGATCAAGATAAATTCGTTTTCAATAATTTCCCTTTGAAATTTTCTACACTATCGCAAATTTATTATATGAATTTTATTCTAACGAAAAATAATTCGTCAGAATGAAAGAAAGAAAAAAACCAAAACATTGTCTATATTATGTGTACCTCAACCATATTTTATTATAAATTATAAAAAAAAGTATATAATATATCAATCGCGTGTTAATCGATTATTTACGATCGTATTCTTTATAGAAATTCAGCCAATGGATCGTTTCAATCGTTTTTTTTTTACTCGTATAATATGTCACGTTACGAACCATTAACGAACAACTTTATAGGGTAGACTATATATATTATATATAAAAAAAAAAATAACAAAATAAAAATGTCAAAAAATACCATAAAATCAATCGATCAAATATTTGTATCATCTATATATATATATATATATCTTGTATATACATGTCTTGTATATATATATTTACCTTCGTTGGGATATTTTTATTTGATTTGATTTGATTATATTACATTTTATATGATTACTTTTAAATTTTACATTGTTTAATACTTGCATATTGCTTCCTTCTATTACTCTCTCTCTCTCTCTCTCTTTTTGGTATGTACGCACGAAAGAACGAAAAACTAATAACGCAACACTCAAATAATTTCAATTTGTTCTTTCCTAAGGCAATGTTACGTTCATGAGAAACACTTTTTTTCCACACGTTAGGATGATCGTGTATATATGGTTTTTTTCTCGGGAAAAGTAAATACAAATAGAAAGAAAATAAAAGCAAGAGAGAGAGAGAGAGAGAAAGGAGATAGAAGAGTTGTGTAAAAAAGTTGACCGATTTGATGAGAAGTCATTATGATCCCATTTTATTTTTTCTAGTTGGTTTTTACGTGTAAAAGGGTCGAAGGAAAATGTAATTTCGAAATTGGGTAACCTTTTTCGTTCATACAATTGACCTAGATCAATTTTTTGTTCTTTTTCCTTTATATTATTATCGGGATTTAAGAATAAGTCGGATTTGTATTATAGTTCGTTCGTGTAGAAAATCTTAAGTCCGTATCGAGAATACAAATATAAAGTCTTATGGGTAATATTATTAAACGATATTTCATCGACGTTTTATATTAATATTATTATTATTATTATTATTATTATTGTTACGCGTTATATAATATATATTATGTTATTTAT